CTTTAGATTTTATAAGTTTGCTGTCTAATTCTAAAACTATATCTCTATCGTGTAGTTTAACCCTGCCTGACTCTTTATTTATTATGCTCCAAGTAGTTTTAGATTTATTTATCGATTCTCTAATTTTGTCGCTGTGAAACTTAACCTTAGCAGCTACACAAACTTTTTTAAATATTTTCGAATAAATTCTAACGTATTCTATGAAATTGGAATTAGTATATTTCTTATCTTATATATATATTCTATATATCTTATTCTTATATATATATTTCTTTCTCCATTCTCCATGATAATTTTCCACGCTGACACCGGTCAAAAGTTTGTTACTGAACGAAAACGACGCCTAACTTTGTTTTACTAAACGATTTTATTTTTTATTTCCCGCTAAATAAAACTTCCTACAATGTTTCTAAAAGAAAGAAAATAACATGCGCTCTCAAATTATATTTTTGTATTGTCATTAAAATATATATATAACCGTCATTGTGAATAAAAACCGCCGAAGTATTTTAATAACCGGCGGCAATCTATCTCACCACCGCTACACATGTCTTTCAATTTCAACCCTGACATTGGCAAAATCGTCGCGCAAAACGACGGAGCCATAGACACAAAAGTTGAAGTTGAGTTAATGAGTTTAAATGGTACAGTGTAATATCACTGGAGCCCAAAGAGTACACTGTAAAACTTTAACTTGTGCTGTTTTCTGAAAGATAATATTTTTAGTAATCTTGTGTATGAAATAGGTGCATGAAAGATGCCGCAAATTAAAATTGATTATGTTGTTAGTTTCAGCAGTGAAGACTCGGTGAGTTTAATACTTTTTGTTAGTAGATAGGTATTCAATAATAATATTAATTAGCAGGATTGACAATATATGTAGCAGACCATTTACAGGGTACAACAGGGTAGGACTTTAGAATAGCTGATACAATATTCATCTTTAATGTACCACGCCAGCACTTCAAGCTACACATTTGTTGGTAAACCTTTTTGCTGACACACCTATTGTTTATTATTGTTTATTATGTTTATTATTACCACACAGGGCTCAACTGTACATTACCATCGCACGAGTTGAGAGTTGAAATTAATATGGTGAATAGATTACATAGTTAGCAGTCTAATCCTAAAATATTAGCTTTAGGAAACTCGTAGTTTTGATAATAAAAATTATTGAAATATTCGAAAATAAATGATAGGAAACAGGTTTTGTAGGTTAGGAAAGCACAGCGTTTGGTTGTTGCAGTGTTTTTTTTGAAATAACGCAAAAAAATAAACATTTTCGTAAAACAAAAATGAACGAAACGCTGCCTCCCCTCCCCCTTCCCCCCTCCCATCCCTCAAATCGTGCGATGGTAATGTACAGTCCTTCCTTAACATATCTTGTTCCATTCCAGTCTTCCAGTCTAGAACTGTACTCAATGCTCAAGTCAGGATTTGAGTATGGTTTAAAGCACTCGAAATCATACTTAAGTCCCTTCCATTAGGGTCGTATTTTCAGTGCTTGTGTTTCTAGTGCAATCCTGACTTGAGCATTGAGTAGAGTTCTGGAATACGACCCTTAGGGTCTATTCTACTCAATACTCAAGTCAGGACATGAGTATTGCAGTGAGCACTGAAAATCATTCTCAAGTCCTTGCTATTAGGGTCGTATTTCCCGTGCTTGAAATCATACTCAAGTCTGCTCAAATCCTTGAGCATTGAGTACAGTTCTGGAATACGACCCTTAGGGTCGTATATTACTTAGCATGAGCAGACTCGAGTATGATTTCATTTGGTCAATGGTTTGTATAGTATTCAGAACGAATACGAATCGGATGCACTGCGCATATGCGCTTACCCTCTTTAACAATCCTTACAGCGCCCTACCTATTGCTAATAGTTTATGTGATAAAAAACTTCGAAAATTGTATGGCGGTCACTTGTTTATTTGAATTGTGAATAGTTTTTACTCGGTATTAATATCTTTTTTCTATCATATTGGGAAGTATGCGTTGTATTTACTGAAGTGAGTAAGACCTTGTACAAAAGATTTATTTCATTTAGTACTTATTATATAAACAAAAATTTTATAGTTTATGAAATTTGATGCCATCGTGACAATTCTTTTTACACTTTTATTTTATACAAACATCTGTTACTGAACTTTTATGGGACTCTTTTTGCATTAGCTAGTATTAAATGCGTTCTTTTTGTATCACAATTTTCAAAACTTATTTCTCACAAACCTTTGGCTTGTAACTAGATCTACCTCCAAGACTAATATCAATATATCAATACCCAACTCGATATCAGCTATTCTAAAGTTGAGCCCTGACACAGAGTAACTGCGGTCATGGGTTGGGGTCAGGGGGTCAGTTGTGTTTTGTAGCCTTTTGATGTAACTCTTGTGTGTATTTTTTATTTTTTTACTGTGAAGGGTTAGTTGCGTGTTAGGTGAGCTTTGACCTCAGCTTCTAGTAATACCACAAGATAATGAAAAAGGTGTTGAGAAGGTTTATATATCTAAACTGTCAATCAGTATTGTACATATTACAACATGTCAAGAATTGTTGTGTGGTATGCAGGAGCACCCAGCACGCGGATTGGTTAGCGGCGCGGCCGACGGCGCGGGACGCTGGCTCTGTGCACGCGGGCAACCCAACGCCTCCGTGCTGCTGCAGCTAGCACGAGCTGCACGGGTAACTAAAGCCACTAATAAGCTAAATCTTTCATTAATAAGTAAAAAAATAGTAGTTTATGTGACTGTTACATAATGAAAGGCATTAAAATACGTGCGTGGGTTTATGAAACGAGCCGACAGGCGAGTTTCATAAACACATCTCACGAGTTTTTTAATGCCTCATTATGTACAGTTACGTACACTGCTTTATCTACACACATATTATAAGCTTTGCGTGAGCGTGATGTGTTCAGGGACCGCACGTTACGGCTGGCGAATTGGCGGCAAATAAAAACTTTTCTCACGCATGTCTAGAGGTGGGCGTTTAAACAAAAAGCACTTTAAAAAGTCTGCTTTTTGAAATCAGCGCGCACGCTTTTCATTTTAAGCGTAAGCGTTGGTCCCTGGTCAGTTCTATAAGTACTCAACAATTTCATTTTTTACGTGCTTAAGTTTCAAGTAGCGCCATCTATGTTTTCTAAACAAGTTAATTCGACATAACGTTGCAAGCTTTTTTAAACAAAGTCTATGCGCTTGAACGTTTTTCTAAACGAGTTTTTAAGCGTCAAACTAAAAAGCATTTAAGTGAAAAGCGCTTTTACAACAACAAAAATTAAGCAGTTTTTCCATTTCAATGGTTAACAGCTACAAAAGTTAAACAACTTATGTTTTTGAACGCTTTTAAACGCCAATGAACAAAATATTATTATAATAATGTTATGTCACAGATAAAAATATAATTACTTTTTTACAAAAAACTTATCTTAAAACCTTTAGTGGTATACTCTTGCGTTTCGCTATCAACACAACGTTGAAAGCTTTTTTTAACATAAAAACTTTTTTTTTAACGATTTTGTTAACTGCAAACTAAAAAAGCGTTTAAATGAAAAATGCGTTTAAAAAAAGCACGCTTTTCAAGAATATAACGATTAAACGTTTAAAAAATTAGCAATTTTTCCCATTTCTACGCATGTCGCACAAACGTAGTTTTTATTTGGATTCGCTCTGGGCCTTTTGGAGGGAAAAGTGTCGTTTTTATTTTGACTTTCAATTATTTTGTGAAATCTAGTTTAAAGTGGAATAGGATAGTACTATTGTGCCTTAATCGAAGATTAAAACGCGAAATTATACGAATCTCGAACTAAAATACCCGTATCGGCCCGTTCTAAGGAATCTCGAGTCAATCCAATCACGCCGCCTCAAATTGCCTGTCCTCTTTGTGGCGGCCATATTTACAGAAACATAATTAAACGAAGACATGGCTCAAAGGTCTTGTATCCAAAATTATTAATAAAAAAAGTAGTTTTTATTTTTAATTCATAGACAAAGTAGAATCGGCCCCAACTATCATATCGTTCGATATCAAGTAACGTGTGAAATTGTCAAAATTGTTTGCTATTGACATTTCATTCCGAATAAAACTTCATCTCGACTGATATTAGAATTGAGGTCCAATCAAATTGTTTTGTTTTTCAGAGATGTTCGAAATTTGAATGTAATAATCACGGATCTGCAGGAATGTCCATAAATCAACAGAATGTTAGTAATACAAATCTTATTAACTCTAATTAAATGTATTATGTAGCTGTTTCCAGTTTGGCGGGAGATAGTCTTTTGTAAAATGAATGCTTTTAGAAAAAAATGAATGAAAAAAAAAAAAAAAGATTTTTTGGCATTTTCCTAAACATTCCGAAAAATTGGTATTGCAACAACTCGTCGTATAGTTAAGATAAATATACTCTAACCGACCTATCCCAAATAATTTCCCGATTTCCCGAATCTTGAAAAAATCCAGGATCTAAAAATATTCTCGTAAGGCAGTCTCCATTTTCTGTCTATGTTCCTGGAAAAACCCCACCTATTCCGATCATTGCTAATTAACGTATTCAACCAATAATCGTATTTATGTGCAATTTTTGCACATTTTGTGACACGTATAATTAGTGAATAGGTAGGTTTGGGCGCGCGTTTAGTATGCAAATCTATAGAAGATAGGTCTAATAATACGTCTGTAGTGACTCCAAGACAGGATCGACTAAGACTTTGTAACGATGGAGCACTGAAGGTATGGTCCCGTACAAAAAATACACATTTTATTACTAAACTATCATATTTATGGCAAAATGTGATATGACAATATTTAATTAGGACAATAGGATCTCTCGATTGGTATTTTTTAGAGAGGTATTGTGAAAAAAAATCCAATGTCCGCAATATCGCAGATCTGATCCACTGTGCGTCGCAAAGTTAAGGTAAATATAGTGTATCTGCCTGTCCCCAATTCCGTCAATTTTTAATGTTCTTAAGTGATTTCCCCAAACCCGACAAGGTCCTGGGACCTATAAAAATTGTGGTAAGGCAGTCTCCATTTTCTGTCTATGTTCATCGAAGTAAAAAAACTCTACCTATTCCCAATCCTGGTAATAATAACATCGAATTCACAAATAAGAAATTTGTTCTAACAAAACAGTTTACCTTTATGCTCGTCGTAATTTGCGGTTTTTGAACACATTAGAGATTTTATGATATGTGTGTAGATAAAATATTATTTTTTTAGTAAATATTTTAAATAATTTTTATTTATTTATTTTTTTATTTCCACACTTAATATATTTTTACAGGTTATGCCCAATACAATAGACCAGCAATAACTATAACTACCTATATCTAACTATAACATAATACGTAAAGCGCTATCTTCGTGAATTCACTCAGAGAACAGTGGAATAGGTCGACCGTATTTGCTATTTTATTCAGTGTCGTCAACGCGCGCGTCAGTGGACACTCAGCCAATAGATTGGTCCTCCCATGTGGCACCAGTAACAGCGGCGGCCGGCGACGTCGCTCCACGTACTTATTAATTATAATTATAATTGTTATAATTTCCCCCGAGTCGGTACTACCTCAGCTCGAATTCAAATTTTTCCCGTAGGTAATGCGGATCATTTTACTTGCGTCGAGCGATAGGGACAATGTACATCGTATACTACACGTGTTCTATTTAGTTCAGTTGACATAAAAAAAATCGTGGTATATGTAAAGTATCTATTGAATACAGAGGTCTTTTAAATTTAGGTTTAGTTTTGTTTTTTTTTTCTATCGTGAAAAATCAGTGTAAGTATATCCTCAGTATTACTATATATTAGGTAAGTAACAATTCTGTAGCATCTTTGTCTTTCCTATTAAAGGTATGACCTGTAAGTCCGCTACGCAATTGGTTTCGTCTTCTACTCCATAACGAATGTTGATGGGGCTTAGTACTAGTTCTAGTTTCTTTTGTTAACGTGGTAAATCGTGTTATGAAATTTTGTTAGTATTTAAAGTCAAATAATTACCAACTCAATAACATCACATTTAACATATTTAACATTTAACAATATTTAACAGTATTTTATTTTAACATGTTAGTATAGAATAAGAACAAGCACATGTCAAATATTGGGCAGAGAGAGAATAGAGAGTGTAGATTCTGCCACGAGGCGGACGAAACTCCTGCTCATATTCTCACCCAATGTTACCCCCTGATGAGCGTACGAAGCCCCATACTGGGAAGGCACGTGCCCCAACCAGAGGACATTAAATCTGTCGGAGCTAGGAAAGACCTTCAATGCTGTCGGCCTTGGCCCCGAACTGTAATTAGGAGGTAATTAGTGAGTCGCAGTGGTGAGGGGCTACATATGCCCCGAATGAAGCCACCCTATTAATAATTCATTCTGCACCTCAGTACGTTTCAAGTAGCTATTTTTATATTTTCTAGCGAGACAGTTTGTTTTAGAGGGGTTGTAGTGTAGTTTGGATAAGTCTGTATCCTGTGTCATCCGGCTGTTCTTTTGGGGTGTTATCGGTCATTTATTGTGTTGTGGAGTACTCGTAGACCTGATTTATTATAAGGCTATCGTGGTGGTTAAAATTGAAGTTAAGGTTGATGACACCCACTGCATCATTGGTTTTTGAAATGAAAGTTATTGAGGAGCTGAAGTGTTGTTTCGTTGATATACATTGGCATCTATGTGGTAGAATTCCGCGTGTTGCGGCTCCATTACCTCCACTCCACTCCACTCCACTCCGTGGAGCTAAAGAAAGTCAACAGCGCCTATGGTTTTAAGTAATTTACAATGTAAGAAATGAAACTATTTTTCCGGTTTAAATCGCGTATATTTGTTTTTTCAAACAAACCGACGTTTCGGGCCCTTTATAGGTCCCATGTCATACGTGGTCAACCGTGACCATGGGACCTGTAAAGGGCCCGAAACGTCGGTTTGTTTGAAAAAACAAATATACGCGAGTTAAATCCGGAAAAATAGTTTCATTTCCTATGTGCAACAATCGCGAAAACCTAAGAACTCGATAATTTACAATGTTTAAGATTATTGTTAGCTACTACTTTTTTGTCAGACATTTTGTACGTTATGTGTGACGTGCGCTACCGCTTATTTCGGCTTTAACCTTCCATAAAGTAAAGTTGTTATCACACGGCTTTGGTCTTTTATTAACCAAATATTAGGCCCATTATATTCCTGAAACATGACGGCCGCTATTAAAATATGTCCATCTTGGTATTGTTGCATTACGTATGTACATATGGCGTAGGACCCTTTCATTATCTTCAGCGTAGTTAAGGTTACTTAAAATTGCTTCTTTTAATACTGACTCCTCCTGCTTCTTATCTACATGACGGGCCAGGTCTCTTCTTATTGCGTGGTGGTCAAAGGTACCATACAATAATTTATTTATTTGGTAAGCAATTGCTCTGAGTTTACATCCGCTTGCATGTGACCTGTAATATATTATACGAAATAAAAGATCGCGTCTACCTATAATCAACGTTTATTGTCGACTGACTGGCCAATACATACGTACTCGCTAATCTGACACTACACTCGTTCACACTAAATTAGCACTTACAATATTACTAAACCCTTAATATCTAAAATTTGTAATTAGGAACCTTATTAATTCTACACTGTCGGCCTATGCGAGTTCGGGGCGGTTGTGGTGGCGTCGGCGACGTGGTAGGCG